TAAAGGTTCCTGCCACATATATATACATACATACATACATACATACATACATACACATGGTTGTTTTGTAGTGAAAACACTTTTTCTTCACAAAAGAAACTACGCCCATTATGTATTTCATGATATAAACTAGTCATGACAGAGCAGAGAACAGATGAACAGATATACACCAAATACGGTATACTATGTTATTTTGCATTGTGTCATATTTTCTCATACATATGGGGAATTCACTAAAGCAGTAGGGTCCCTTTTTAGGCCCCCAATACAGTACGGCAACCTTCGAAAAGGACCCCAAAAGGGACCCTAATTTAGAGAGCTACCCATATGTATGTTCATGTTAGTATACAAACTATGCAACATGCAATATTCAGTAATATAGCAAAATATTACAGAATAGATGCATAATATCTGTTGCAGAATACGCAATATCATTTATAGTTCAATAAATTAATAATATATACAGTTTTTGCCAGTAATATGCAATATAAGACGTTGTTTCATGTAAGATACAGAGCCATGGTCCGCAGGCCTTGGGCGCTGCTGCACCGGAGGCGGAGTCGCTGGGAATGCAACTGAGGAATAGGACATTGCCTTGGGCGGGTGCATGAGGCACATTTTTGGTATTATGTTTAGGAGTTTAGGGTAAAGGGTTTAGGGTTGAGGTCTGATTCCGTTCGGTGGTGCTGAGGTGTTCGAAGCAGTATCGAGCCGGTTGGGCAGATCAGGCTTCTGTCGTTTCTCCCGGCCCCAGACCCCAAACCCTGTGGAGGTCCTCAACTAGTTGGAATGTCGAGAGCAGGATGTCCGCTGTCACTGACCTAAGGTGGACCGTGCCTGTTTTACCAAAGTTTTCCCAGTCGTTGTTGCTTGTCTTTGCATCATCGACCTACACACATACGCCTCGCCTGGATTGTCCGAGCAGTGAGCGAAACCCTGTGGTCCCCCTAAGCCCCAAAGCTACTGAGGCCGGAAATGTCTGTGACTGTGAAGACCTCGAGCCAAAGACCGGCAGCTGCCGTGCAGAGAAAGGTCTTGTACCTTGGCCGCAAGAAATGGGTCTTCAGTTTTGGGATTTGAAGCTAAATGGAGTTTTTTGGATTTGGGGGGTTTCCGGCGTAGGGTCCATGTTCGGGAACTGCCGGGCACCTTGCCTGGCCAAGATCACAGTTTCAGAGAGGATCCCAGAGAAATCGATATGCTATAATCGCTGCTTTATATTTTCTTCTTGCCCAAACCGAAAGCCTTGCCTCCATGTCTACTGCCTACGGCTATTGCACACATCCCGGTAAGACCTGAAGCCGCTCTTGAGGAAGTCGTTAGCGTCCTCAGACATGTCCTGGTGCCGCGATGTGGACTTGGCTGCTGTCAAGTCCGCAAGGCGAGCTTAGCAAAGCTGGGGCTTTCAGGCTTGTAGGATAGTTTGCTCCTATAGGGATATGAGAGGGCAGTGCTGCGGCCAAAAAGTCTTCCACAGCTTTGCGTCGCAACAGGTTCACGTTCGTGCTGATTCTGCTTGCCATGTGCGCAAGATTGGAGTGCATACCTAAACCCCATAAACCCTAACATGCGCGGATCCGTGCCGGCCACGTGCGAGTGGGAGAGTCGAAACCCCGAAAACGCCCCAAGAATCGGACTTGCTGGCGCCTCGGCTCAGGAATCCCTGCGTGCCATGAGCAAGCCTAAATGGCCTAAATAATCTGTAGTAGTAGGACTTTTCCTTGGGGTTTCTTCTATACTAGCATAGACCCCAAAACCCATGGTCCTTGGCACAGGCTCCGCCTCTACGACCCGTGGCGTGGTTTGCCCGGACGTCCACTCGAGGGCATCAGACCGCTTGGCGACTGTCTGCGAGGCTTCAACTCAACTGCGACTCTGGTTATGGAGCTGCCCGATACCTCGGGCTGCCGCTTGTCAGGAAGCTTTGCGGCAAAGGGTGCTTCGAGCTGGCTCGGGGATCTGAAGATGGGCTTCTGTTGGGTTTCGATGCTTAGCTGCTGCGCTGAAGTTGTTCACCTCTGCGGCTTCTTGCCGGCGGCGGCTTCGCAGTGTGAGATTGCTCAGGCTTTGAGCAGTGGCAGGAGGATCGCACGGAGACTTTCCTCGCAGCTCGGCAGGCGAGGGAAAGCTGAATAAGAGCAGAACATAATATCGGAAGTCGCGAGCGAGACCCAGCCCAAAACAGCAAGGATATCCCCATTGAGGCCATTGAGGAGGCATTTCGCCCTACAGGGACCACTGCGAGCAGAAACCGTTCTACTCCCGCGAACAGAGTCACAGAGAGAGAGAGAGAGAGTGCATTAGTTTGGAACTTTTACATGCGGGAGAAGAGCTTCAAGTCTGTGGCGCTGATCACAGTGGCTGGTGGCGATGATGGCGAGGGTAATGGCAACTGGCGCTGGCGCTAGCAATGTTGGTGATGATGATGATGATGATGATGATGATGTTGACGACATTGCTCATCACCAGCATCCTCGGCCTCGGCCTGATCATCCTTGCTGTCATCAGTTCCGTCACGATACTCAAGACAAGAAGGAGCAAAGCTCAGGTACTCTGGGACAAGCAGCTGGGAGCGCCCAGCCTTGGGTCAGCTAGCGTGGTGGCGTTGAGGCTCCCTCCAGCTGCGGAGGCACCGCTTGCAAAAGAACGAAACTGTGCAGCCGCAGCAGTCGCCGTCGTCGTCGTGGTGGTGG